CGCACAGTTACCTTTTTCAAGACAAATTGTCAGCAAAAAGTGTCCAATTTACTTGAAAAGTTTTCTTTCTACTGAAAAGAAATAGAATGAAGAGGGGAGTGTGGAGTCTGAAGCTTTCCTATCCAGTGTCAGAAGCCTTCTCCTAGGTCCACTCAAAATCTTCCATGAAGGAGCTGGTAGAATTTGTTTTCTTAACTCTAAACTCTTAACTGTCATCTAAATGTCATTTGTACCTGGGATAGTTTCCATGTGCAAACTTTGTTTCCGAAATGATGTGTGTCTGGCTATAGTATTAATAATTTTATCTAACTTCCTAGAGATGTAAGAGGGCCTAATAGAGCCTAAAAAATTCACTGCTTTACTGTCCTTTTTTTTTTTTTTTTTTTTCTTTTTCTTTTTTTTTCTCTGAACAGTAGGATAGTTTAAAAAAACACTTAAGAACACAGCCAAAAATCCAGACACTGAGATTCTGGAGAATGTATCAGTAAAATCAGTTTTTGTCCTGGGAAACCCTGGTAATATTATTTCCTGTTTCTGTATGGGAAGTACAGAGAAGATCCAAATGTGACTGGCAAATTTAAGACATTACTTGTAGTTTCCTGTATGAAGGAGTGCCTAATCAAATGTAAGTTCCCAACTTTTTCCTGCTTCATATTTCCTTAATACTGTTTCTCTTGGAGCTCACTGCTTATATACAGGCAGTTTTTCTTGTAAAGCTGCAATGTTGCTGAACTATGTGAACAGCTGTGTCAGATATATACCCTATGAAGTCTAACATGTCTGTGGTTACCCTCCCATATTTTTACGAAGGAAATATATTATTGAAAAGCAAACTGGTAAATTTAGTTAACCCAGTTGGTTTGTTTTTTTTTTTCTTCATTTTGTCAGTGGGATTTAGTTCAGTTTATTAGCCAGTGTCCGGCATTTTGTCTTGTTTGTGTCATTTACAGGGAAGCCAGAAGTGTAGTTTCTGCACTGTTCTGGGGAAAAAAGATTGCTGCTCTCAATCCCCTTCCCCATAGCCATTAATATAATCACTGCCGACTGCTCTATTGATGCCTATTTAGTACGTTAAAAAAAAAAAAAACTGGAAAATTTGAGTGAATGACTCACAGATTTAATCTATCACCAGTGGAACTGCTTATTAGAGCAGCAAGATGTGAGAGATGCATACAGAAGGATTTTCAACTGCTGTAATGCATACTTGCATTGAGCAGGGATAGACTTCAACCACTGGGTCCTAATCCCCCCTGGGCTTAATGGTTTGCTTGGACATGGAGGAATGTAAAATGAAGACGTGCTTGGTCCTGTACAGTTTGCTTCAGCTGTCAAGGAGAAGACAGTGAAGTTAGACGGTAGCTAAAAAGTCGTTAAAGGAATGTGGGTAAAAAGTGCATTACAAGTCACTCTGCGTAGTGAGTGAGCGATGAAGGAAACAGCCCGAGAGTCCCCCTTCTCTTGTCTCTTTTTAATGGCTGTAGGTGTTTGCCTGCACCACGGAACTGCTGCCTGTTAGTAGTCAAACGTAGCCAGCGGTCCCTGGCTTCTGCCATCTGTAAGGAAGCTTGCATGGTGTCTTCACCATGATGGCAAAACCCCTTGCCATTCCCTAAAAATGGAAACAAAGTGCAGCTATCCTCTGTTTGCACATCCCATTACACTGCTTAGGGCTGCATCTACCCCCTGAGCAAGTGATTGCCAAAAATTGTATGCTTGTGTTCCTATGTCGTCAGGCTTTTCCTAGCATTTTGTGACTACCTCTCTTTTGTTTTCCTGTGATTTTGAAGTGCAGTTGGTAACTCCTGAATGGCTGCTATAAATTAAGCGCTATGGGTGTTTGAAGGAGAAAGATTTTGGGGAAAAAATGCACATGGCATGCTGGAGAATGAAGTTGCATGTTACATTTGTAATGAGATTTCAAGCTACAGCACTGTGCATTCTTCAGATTCTCCATAGACTGCTAAATATCCTTCTGTTACTCCCACAAACAAGTGTGGAAATTGTCTGCTCCTTTACTCCAAGGAAACCTCTCTTCCCATTGATTTGCCCTCACAATTGCTCTGTTTTCAGTGCTTGAGGTCTGCATTGTGAGACCTTCCTTTCTGCAGCAGTGGCTAGTAATGCTATTACTGAAACACAGTTTAGTGTAAAGGCCATTTAGTCAATGGCAGCATTCATCTGGGAGAAGTTTAAAATTAGCATTTTCTGTGCTTGATACTGCGAAGTGCCTGGCTCCCTGATCCTGATTAGCAAGGCATTGAGACTTCCACATAAAGCTCTCTTATCAGCGCTCCCATTGATTTTGGCGGAGTCAATCACACGTTTAAACTTCCAGAAGGTGCTAAAATGACTAGAAGGTTGGGAGTAAGAGCAATCAGTTTCTGGAGACTTAATGAACAGGTCAGATTAATCTTTTTTTAAAAAGCAACCAAAACTACTCCCCTTAGTATAAAGAGAGTTCATGATCTTTGCTCTTGTATCACTGGGGAATTGGACCAAGTGGTAACAAGTGTGCAGAAAACAGAGTCAAGTTTATAGTGACATAACCATCCCAAATGGAAACTCTAAGAGATTTTCTTCCTCTTTTAAATCGCTATTTTTGTAGAAGAACCGTAGTCTACTTATAATTAAGTCTTAAAGTTAGTCAGCCATTTAAGCCTCATAGCTGGTAATTTGAGGTCTTATGTGAATGTGTTTTTGTGTGTTGACAGTAATTTATTTTGGGGGGGGCTGGGAGGGGGAGACTATTATACGAAGGCACTATTTCCTATGGGGTTTCTCATGAAGTGCTGACAAAAATAGAGCTGAAATCTAAAACTGAAATTGCCAGGTATAGATTCTGAATTGTAGGTTTCTTTGTAAGCAAAATGATCCAAATTCAGACTAGCCTTAAAAACACAGATTCTTCATCTGAACTGGATGTTGCCACTTACATAAATTACAAACAAATGTGTGAGAAGCATTTGTCCTCTTACAGAGCCTTGGTGATTTCCTTAAGTCATTCATGCACGTGAAAAAAGATGCATACCTTGCACTAGCACGTGCCACCAAATAAATGCTCTGCGTAGTAACTCTTGTGAACTAACTGGATACAAGTGGATGTTTTATGCACTCACATTTTATATAGTGGCAGATTAAGTACTGGGCAGTCACTTTAGATGCCTATTTTAAAATATTTGTTCCTGTGTTTATTTTTCTTTCATATCCTGCTGCAGTAACAAGTTACTTGTACTTAAGCAATGATTTTGTTTGTTCCTCCAAGAGACTAAAACCAGACACAGCTGATATAAAGAGAAATTATGGTAGCAGGCAAAAAAAATTCCATTCCCTAAAAAGGAAAAGAAAACGCAGCTTTTCTGTGTTTACACAGCCCCTTGTACTGCTCAGGGCTGCACCTATCTCCTCACTAAGTAACAGTCATTTATCTTACATCTGTTAAACAAAAATGAACAATACAAATGTGTTGCTGTGCACAGTGTCTGCAGGTGAGAGAGGGCGCAGATGCAGAGGGGTGCTCTAACGTGGTGGTGGATGATTTCTTTTCACATCAGAGAGAATACTTTTGAAAAGGCAACAGGGGATCTCCTAGGAAACAACCCCAGAGTGGCTTAGTGGAGTTGGAGGGTTCAGGCAGGATTTGGGAGGGGAGGGTGTGCCTCAAAGGCAAGCAATATATTTAACATCAGTCTGACTGCTGGTTTGTCCAATTAACCTTAAGTGCTGACATTAAGTGCAGAAACTCAGACAAGCTCTGTGGTCAAGTGAAAGGAGATTAAAGAAGGAGAAATACATGCTGTGAGGACTCCAAAGAAGATAGGGGTTGTGTGCTGCTGGGTGAAGGACTGATTTGACACAGTCCCTGATGCCTCTTACAACTCTTGCTTGCAGCCTGCTGCCTGCTGAGAATTAATATCAAGAATGGGAATTGTCTGATATACATTGCCACATTAGGAGGATCATTTTCCAGATTGTCTGTGGGATCATGTTTTAGAAATGGATGCCCAGGCTTTTTTGTTGTTCTTGTTTGCTTGTTTCTAATTTTCTTTCTCTGTGTTTCACTTCTTTCTGTCATTGCAATCCTGGTTTCTGTGACTCCTGTATCCTGTTTTACTCTCCTGATCTTGATTTTGATGTGTTAGTACTGTCTCCAGGACCTGGCTTCTGTTTTCAGTGGGGTTCATTTACTGTTGCCTCCTTTTTATATATTGTGTTTTTGTTTTTTGGTTTTTTTTTGTTTTTTTTTGGTTTGGTTTGGTTTGGTTTGGTTTGGTTTGGGTTTTTTTTGGTTTTTTTTTTCTCCTCCTCATGCATTTCTGGCTTGTCATTGCATCCTTTCCTTTGTCTTTATAGACATGGTTATGTTTTAGGCCCTGCTCCTAAAATATCCATCCAGACAGTATTGTCAAAATAATCCCATTGAGTCTGCTGATATGTTTTGCATATGCTTTGCATTTAGGACTTTCTTGAATCAGCAGATTTGTACATCTTTGTCGTACTACTTAAGAGTGGCTTTCTACTTTTCTTCTTTGAAACCAAAAATGCTTTAAAAATTTTTGGCTGCAGTGTGTGCATATCCTTTATGCATTGTTTTAAAATCTAAAAGTTTAAAAGTTTTGATTTGTAAGACAAACGGATATTCCTACAGTGTATTCCAGACTGTTTAAATTATCTTGTCAATCAAATTGTCTACAGCTACAGTGTCTGTCTGCAGAGGACATTACTTAATAATCTGCTTTACATTGATATAACATCTTTCTCTAAAGATTTCCAGCAATTTAAAAATTATTATTCAAAATGCCTTGAGACATGTGAAGTGACATTTGCGATGTTACAATGGGAATGTAAAAAAAAGTTACCTGACTTCTTTAACGAATGAGTGGCTGTCTCCATCTCCTGACCTAGCCCTAGAACAACCATTCTTTTACGAATAAGTACTTTTGTCCAGGGATACAAAAGCAGAGTCTCTATCATTTATCATTCTGATGTGTGTCTGTTCCTAGGACATTACATTTCTGTGGATACATCTTACGAGGGTGAGAAGGCAGTGCTGTCCAGCCCTGAGCTGTACTCTGAGGAGTGGAGCTGTATCAGACTGATTTATCAGATAGCAACGACTTCAGAGACTTCACCTGATCCTGCCAGGCTCAACCTGTACCTGAGGCAGGAAGGAGAGAGCTTTGATCGTTTGCTGTGGTCAGCCAAGGAGCCATCAGACAGCTGGCTCATAGCTAGCTTAGATTTAACCAACAGCACAAAGAAGTACAAGGTAAGCCTAATTTTAGAAGACGACACAGGCTTTCTGGTGCTTGTGTTGGGCATGTCTGGACTGCTTTCTGAACATGTCCACACTGGGCCCTGTTCTTGGCTTTCACCTCTAGGGCTGGCAATGTGTGAACAGTGGAGCCCTCTGTCCCTAAACTCAGTGAGCAGAGCTGGCTTGAGTCAGGCAGTCAGTGCTCTTCCCAGCGCACACGTGGCACAGCGGGTGGGAAGGCACTACTGGCCAAGCCATGCGGTGAGGATGGCTCACCTCGTGGCATCCCTGTGGAGCTGCTGACATGCTCTAGCAGATACGGGACCTCCCAGCTCCTGGGTCTGCAGCTGTGCTCACTCGTTCCTGTGCTCTGTGCACTTCTGGGAGGAGTCAGAAGCTCAGAGGAGCGTGTTTCTACCCAAAACCCATCACATCACATCTCTCACAATACCGTCCTGTATAGTCACAGCTGAGGAATCTGGACTCCCATACTCCACATATGAAGTGTGGGAATTTTTTGGCCTTGTCTCATTGTCCTTCAGTGTGCCTTCAGTCCTTGCAGAAGGGCACCGATTCTGTCTTTAGTGCAGCCTGCCAAGCTCTTTCAGCAAAAACCTCTCCTGGCTGTAAGGATGATGAACCCTACACATCTGTTTAACTTGTTGTCCCGTTTATCCTGTTTAAATATCCCGATAATGGAAATACTGAAATCCTAAAATTTACCGTTTGTTTTATATTGTGCAGATTGTACTAGAAGGTGAAATAGGACAAGATAAATCCGCCAGTATAGCAGTTTTTGAAATTAAAATAACTCCTGGATATTGCATTGGTAAGTACTGTCTGCTCAGCTCCCATATTCTCTGCATAGAAAAAAAATGCCTTGTTAGCAGTTTTAAAACTGAATTAAAGGTCTTAGTTTAGAAGAAAGACAATAGCTTTTCCCTTATTGAAAAACAGGCTGCCATATTTGATGTAGATTTTTTTTAAGCTAGGGCTGCACACACTAATATGTGCTTTTATTCACCTATCTCTGTGCTGGATATAGACATCTCACATACAGTAATTCCTTTTAAAGCTATTTACTGTTCAAGCAGGAACAAATGTTACACTGTCACAAAACTAGACTACTGCAAAGATGAGACATAACATCTGTGACATTGTTTCTTCTGTCTGCCTGCTCATGCTTCCTTGTAGTGGCATCTTGTGGGCTGCAGAATCAAAACTGTTGATATTTACATTTACTGCTATTTCCTTAGGACATCTGAGAAGAAACACTAATGAAGTTCAAAAATTTCAGTGGCTAAAAGCCTGGGAGACCTTTGCATTTCTGAGGATCTCTGATGGAGTCCAACTGAATTGTCACAATTCTCTGGCTCTGTGAAGGAAGTAAAGCAGTCTCCTTACCACTGTGAAATACTAGTCCAGCTTTGCTTCTAGCCACCCCTGATTTACAAGTGGAAGTTCTGCTCTGACTACTTAATACTGTGAAGTGGTTCTAAATTACACCCGTCCGATATTGCCAAATAATGAAAAGATAGATTGGACTGAACAGGATGAAAGAATTTTACAAAAAGTTGATCAAAAATGTGGCTAAGTTTGCTTCCATTTATTATAAGCTATTAAGGGCTGTATCTAGTTTTATAAATAAAGATGTTATCTGCACTGTCATATGTAAGATGAGGTCAGTGCTTAGCAACAGCCTCTCTTCCTGCTTCTGTAAAGAAAATCTGTGCACTCAGCTGGTGATGTTTGCAATTGCAGAATGTGACTTTGAAGAAAATCATCTTTGTGGCTTTGTGAACCGCTGGAACCCCAATGTCAACTGGTTTGTTGGTGGAGGGAACATTCGTAATTCCCAGTCTATCTTGCCCAAAGACCACACGCTTAACAGTGAACTGGGTAAGCAACAAATGTAAAACAGAAGTACAGTGGAAAATTTGAGTCCGTGATCCATGTATGACTCTTATACTGCAAGTTACTATGGGAGTTAAATAAGTTTTAAAGTCTTGTACTGCTGCTCTGTATATCTGGCAGGGGTTTTCTTTTCAGTGACTGTTGAGAAAGTTAAGTAAGAAATCTAAGGGATGGAAACATATTTGGAGAATCTCAGATTAAATTGTGTGGCTTAGGAGTTTTGTTTCCTTCAGTCCGATGTGGTGCTGTTAATACAGCCCATCAGAGGAAGAATGCTGTAAAGACTTAAAGAATTTTCAGCACTTGCTCTGTGTGAACTACTTGTTTCAGCCACCTTGTTGAGAGGAGAGTGTTTTACATAGCCATACAGAAGGACTGAGGGATGTCTTAGACTTTGGTGTCATGTTCCATGAAGTACCACAGCAGTTGACAGTCAGACGTGGCTGTTGCAGCACACTGTGTTTCTGGGGCAGTGTGATGCGTGCGGTGACACAAGGAATCACATAATGAAAAGCAAGGTTGATCCTCTCTCCTTAACTCATGCCGCTGTGCCTATTTATTTATTTCACAATTGTGTGAGTTGAGCACAGAGTGTCACCCCGCAGCATCTAAATGCTGGTAAAATTTTGATGGAAGTTTAACTCAACACAACTTCAACAGCAGATGGTGGCTCTACCTGTTAAATTAATTACTGTACGTGGCAGGAAACACTGCCAACTGGGAGGGATCTGTTTTCTTGTAGCCACAGTGTTTCTTTCTCACACCAAACCCTCAATGCTGACTAGCAGCTGAGAAGACCCCAAGAAGCCAGAAGTCACAGAAGAGTCTTCTTTTGGCAAGAATTGTGCTACGAAGGTACATAAGCTAGGGAGATCTCAGTTAAGCTATGAAATGTAGTAAAGCTGCAGAGCAAAAACGAAGCCCAGAACTTCTTGTGCAAGTAGTGCTGAAATGTCACCAGTCCCCTGACAGTGAGCAGGCTGGAGGAGGTCCAGAGCCAAACAAGCCCCTTCCTCTCTGTCCACTGGAGTGAAGCGAGAACTGACATCTTCAGTTTTGAGAACACTACTAGCTAATTAACATAGTGGTGTAGACACAGACCTAATGGCACAGTTTGCAATGTCCATGCTGAAGTAAACCTGTCAGTTTGACACTTCATTCTCTTCATTGTCTACTTGTGAAGAGCGATTTTTGTGTTCATCAGCTGGTGCTGTTTGATGCCCTGTTTCTGGGAGTGTAGAACAAGAAAAACGACAGATGCACAGTGTTATCTGTGCACATGGATATGTCCTGCTTAAAATCAAGGTAGCTCACCCAAAGTCAGAGTCTAAGAAGCTATGTCCTTTGAAAATCTTGCAGGTCATATTTGTTACTGAGGGTGTCGGAGTCCAGTAATCTGTAATGCATATTTCTGTTTATTAACATTTCCCAAGAGCATTTTGCAAAAACCCAGGCTATTCTTTAAAGATAAAACATTTAGAAACCAAATCTTAGATAGACTGAGCAGAATTATTCAAGCAGCAAAATGCACAAAATAAAGGTTATTTGCTGTTTCATTCGATATATTAAATGAATTGCTGAGTAAAATGTGATGAAACACATGGCTCGTGGTCTTGTTAATTTACGTGGGTTGACTCAGTAGAATTGTGCTTGGAAAAAGATTAAACACTATATTGAGCTGTTGGGAAGCAGAGAATTTACTCAGTTATAACACATTTTTCCATTTACAAATGGCTTCTAACATACAGACAGTTTATTACTTTCATTGATATAAAAGTCTCACATAAAGAACTAAGAAAGAGCTGATGCTGACTCTTTTGCCAGTTGTATCTTAGCCAAACAACTTTGGGTTGTACATGGGAGAGAAGCAGATAAAAAATAAATTTCTTAGAATTAACTAAAATTTCCTAGGAACCAACCATCCTTGTACAGGTTGTAGAGATACATGTTTAGTCCCTGCCCATCTCCTGATGGTCCTTGTAAGTGGTGTCCCTTAAAGAGTGTTCTACCACCAAGTTTCTCTTATACCTTCAGGTCACTACATGTATGTGGACTCCGTTTACGTCAAGCATTTTCAGGAAGTGGCCCAGCTAATCTCACCAAAGACCATGGCCCCAATGTCTGGCTGCTTATCTTTTTATTATCAACTTAAGCAGGAGAGCAGCATTGTTTTTACTGTTTACTTGAGAGACACAAGTGGCTTTTATGAAGAGATCTGGAAGACAGATGGTGCACTGAGCGCGGGCTGGGTGCTGGCAGAAGCTGACTTCACCGCGCCATACCCCATGGAGGTAAAGCAGTTGTTCCTTTGCAGCTGCCTCTTCTAGGCTGCATCTCACATCAGTGCTAACTCGGGCCAAGCTGGGAGCGTGGCAGGACCTGTCCAGTATCTGAAAGATGGTTATAAAGATGCTGGCAATCTGTTGTTTCCTTAGTGGAGTGCATAAGGGTCAGGGAGGGCTTGCTTTCCATGCTAGCGCTTGACTTTCAGCAAAGATGAAATCAGGTGGTGAAGTGCTTGGACAGAATCCCCCGGGAGGTTCTAGAGTCCTCCCAGTGTGAGGTCTTTCAGTTCCTACTAAGTAATGTCAATTCACTCTCTGCCCTGAATTTCTGCGACTTGATTTATTTTTGAGGATGCCAAGTATCATAAAATGATGCATGCCTCTCAGTGCAGAAGAAAAATTAGAGATTTATTCTCTGCCTTATACAGTCCTGCAATTTAGTCTTTCTGAGCTTTCACGAGATAGAGTCCAAACTTGGGTCTTAATAATACAGGACTTTCTTTAGATGTGAAGGCCAGCTTTCTATGTTTAGTATAATCAATTTCAGAAGTATCAGAAAGTAATTGAAATTTTTGTTCCCTAGTGTTCGGTAGAAAGAGCCCAAACCTTAGAAGACTGGAATAAATATTTTATATATGGGTGCATCTATAAAAACGTCTATCTCCACACACATACACACACATATATATGTAAAATAGATGTGTGTATATGTATATATGTATAGTGTATATATACATACGCATATATACATTATGTTATATATATGTAAAAATACATATAAAAGGTATTATTCGATATGTAATAAATACATAAAA